GGGTAGAACTGCAGCTCCACAAGCGTTTCTGGGGTCTCTGCTGAGGGAAGGCCTCGCACACTGGCCTCAGCCTGTGTGAGCCTCTGTGGAGGTAGAATAGCTGTCTTCCTGAATCTCCCACATTGCACCCTGGGCGCCTTCTCTGAGCAATGGGGAAATGGAAAAGTCACAGCCTTTGATCTCTGTTGGACTGATGAAATCCTGCATCTGCACTTGCATGTGTGTCACTGTGGATGAGTGACCCGAATGTCCCTGGACTCAGTTTTCTCATCTGTAAAATGGGGATAATGCTAGATATTAAGCAGGATGCTTGCAGGAATGAAATGAAATTGAAGTTGGGCCACGGGCGCCCTCTGGTGGCCACTATAGGAACTCCCATCTTCTATGTCCTGCAGGGATTCAGGGTGGCCGCATGACCCTGGTGTTCGGGTGCCGCCGCCCAGATGAGGACCATCTGTATCAGGAGGAGATGCTGGAGATGGCCCAGAAGGGGGTGCTGCATGAGGTGCACACAGCCTATTCTCGCCTGCCTGGCAAGTCCAAGGTAAATGTGGCCTCACAGCAGGTGGCTAAGCACAGGCCACAATTTGTGCCCTGTGTCCCCACAAATTCCTCACATCTCCAAGTCTTCAGCTTCTCAGCTCTAAAGTGGGACCATTATACAACTATCAGAGTGAAGCTGTGAAGCTCATATATACTTCCTCTCTTCTAGCAGAGAAGAAGTTTGGGACTAATCTAGGGTCCCCCTACAGATTAAGCCCCAGCGTCCAGCCTACTGAAGGTCCCCATCAGGCCCCCTGTGTTATCTGAGTGCCCCAGGAGTGGTGGTCCAGGCTAGCTCTGCACGGGCCCAGCGAGGCTGGTGGGCACCTACTGCTCCCACCACAGCCCTCAGATGGGCTCTGCTACCCCAGGGACACTGCCTCATGAGCCTGGGGTGTCAGAATAGACTGTCAGCCCTCCCAAACTTGTCTTCTCAGGGCTCCTCTCAGGCCCAGTGCTCTGAGCCAGTGCTGGGGCTCCTGGGTATTTTGTGTGGGGCAAGAGCAGACAGTCCTCAATGGACTCCTGCACCTTCTGTCTGACTGGGGAGCCTGGGATGTCTGCTTCTGCCTGGAATTATAGCAGGGACTTGAGGGACAGTTGGCATTGGGAAGCTCCCTTGTCTGGGGTGTAGTAGGCAAGCCCAAGTTTGCTTGATCCCTCACAGAAGCACGGTGACATCAGAGACAATTTGGGAGCCCCACTGGGCAGTCAACCCCTCAAGGGCAGAACTGTGTCCCACATTCATTTCTCTAGTCCCCACTCAGCCCCCAGGGCATCTGTGTACCTCTTGGATCTGAGCCTGGATACAAAAGTCCTGCGTCCTGTGCAAGGTGCTGGTTGAGAGAGGCCCACTCTATAGACTCAATGTCCCCTGCCTGTCTCCTGGGTCAGCAAGCCTGCCCCCAGGCCTCACTCCCAGCAGCCCAGGCTGAACCCACCATTCCATCTGCTGTCAGGTCTACGTTCAGGACATCCTGCGGCAGCAGCTGGCCAGCGAGGTACTGCGCGTGCTCCACGAGGAGCCGGGCCACCTCTACATCTGCGGGGATGTGCGCATGGCCCGGGATGTGGCCCACACTCTGAGGCAGCTGGTGGCTGCCAAGCTGAGCCTGAACGAGGAACAGGTGGAGGACTATTTCTTCCAGCTCAAGGTGCGACCCCTGGTGGGAGGGTTGAGGTGCAGGCTAAGGTCAGGCCCAGGACAGTCCTGGACCCCAGCAGAATCCCAGAGGTGGCTGAGGTCTGAGCTGCGTGGGCTGGTAGGAGGCCTCACTGTGCATCCTGGTCTGGGTGCCAGCTGGCTTGGGCAAGTCAGGGAAACCTGTCCGTTTTTCCTTCTATGGATGGAAGCAGGAGAGTCAACTTGGCCTCTCTTCAGACCCCCCTTTCAGAAAGTATCTGTGTAGCTGAGGTAGGGCTGTGAACACTGGGGACTGATGGCTATCCCCCCTCAGCCTCCTGTGAACTTCACACTTGCCACCTACACCCAGGTTGGTGTCTGCTCACCCTCATCCTCACCTGTAGGAAGGGCTCACATTTTGATGACACTAGTAATGACATTTACCAAGGGATTATCCTGGGCCAGGTGCTTGTCAAGGATTTTCATGTGGCGTTTCAGTCCTCACAAAGACTTTTTGAGGGAGGTACTATTATCACCCCCATTTTATAGAGGGAAGGGGGTCTTTGGCAGTGAATGTGAGAGGCCAGAGTTCAGTCTGCCTCTCTCTGTTTCAGACCCTTTATTAAGCACCTACTGTGTGTTGAGAATAGAGCAGTAAAAGAACAGGCAAAAATTCCTGCCTGTGTAGAGTTTATATTTTCCTGGGGCTGACGAAACCACACAAGAAAAAGGGCTAGTGCTTTGGAGAGAAAAAAAAAAAATGTGGCAGGGAAGCAAGCCAGGGAGAGTTGGGAGGTGAAATTTTAAATAAGGGTGGTCAGGGAAGGTGTCACTTGCAGGTGACATTGAGAAAAGACTTGTAGGAGAAAGGGGAGCCCTGTGGATATTGAAGAAAACAGAGATCTGGGCATATCTGGAGGGAGCAGCAGGTACCCTGGCTGTGGGGTGGGAGTTAGTCTGATGTGTTTGAAGAACAAGGAGATAACAGGTAATCCCCAAAATGAGTTCATCGGGTCCATAGATAGTTGGCATGAAAAGGGTTCCAAGGGCAGATGGCTTGGAACATATTCTATTCAGCAAAGGCAAACCCGTTGCTTTTCTACAAGAATTCTCAGAGCCATGTCATGCTACTGTGTATCGTGACACTTCAAGACCAGGAGAAAAGAAAGTACTAGCATTTCAGCTAGCCATCCCTAAAGCTTGGGCGCATGTTCAGGTGGTCCACAGCAGAGCAGGTGCTGATAGGGGTTAAAGAGTCTAAATCAAATGCCAGCATCATCTAAGCATGACGATTGGGAGGACAAATGGCTTGTGAATGTCCACGTGCTAGGGAAGCTAGGGCAGCCCCCGGGGCTTATCCTATGATGTCTGAGGCTCTGGACCAGCACAGCTGACACATTGGTCTCTGTTTTCCCTTAAAGAACCAGAAGCGCTATCATGAGGACATCTTTGGTGCTGTATTTTCCTATGAGGTGAAAAAGGACAGGGCAGCAGAGCAGCCCAGAGACGTGGAGTTCTCAGTGCTCTGACAGCCCACAGGACAAGTGACAGCTACTGACGTAGAGTGGACTCTGGGTTATCTGAGGTCACAAGGCCTGGGGAGATGGAGGAAGTGATACCCGAAGCCTCACCTCTTCCACCCCAAGCCCTTTACTTGATCTGCTACCAGGTAGTATCCTGGATGAATTAGAGCCTCCTTTCCAGAGCTGGAGCCTCCCTGGTCCCTTGGAGACTAACACTGCAGCATCAGGCCTGGCAAGTGGTTAAGAGAGAGATGGGAACTTCTGCTGATCGCACCTCTCCGAGTGACCACCAGGAGGCGCTTTCGCGCCACCCTGTATTTAACCCACCCCCACCCTGTGTACAGTTATTTATGCCTCTGTATTTAAATAAACAAACACCCCAGTGTGCTTCCACGGGCCCCTCAGCCTTCCCTTGATGTTGATATTTATAAGAAATACATTTTATTTTAATCGCACTGTACGTGTGTGTGTGTTTTATAGGCAAAGCAGCCCTCAGTTATACCAAGTGGGCTGGTGGAACTCTCTGCCACAGATGGAGTATTGTGCTTGTCCTAAAGCCTGTGCCAGGGACGAGGGGCTCAGTCCACCCCTCCGAAATTGCCTCACATGCGATATGTATGCACAGGTGGGATTCGGGGCATGAGGCCAGTTCTCTAGTGAAGGTCTTAACCACGGCCCTGTCCTGTCTTTTGCTCTGGGGCCACTTGATTCATGAGAGTTTGCCCAGGGGGGATTTGGCACCCGGGAAGAGCAGGCATGGGGAGGACGTGGTGAGTGTAGCACATGTCCCCTTTGCCCCTGAGGCTGGTTTAAAGCCAGCCAGTCCTGAGGAACTGAACCATGTTCTGGTCAGAACCAAGGACGGAGCTCAGCTGGGGGCAAGTGGAGGTCCCTCCCACGTCATTGCCTTCCTCATCTACTTCTCTCCTCTGCCCCCCTCCCTTCCCACTTCTAGCCCCTAAGTATGCAGACAGACAGGAAGGAGGCGGGAGAAAGGGGCTACTAATCCAGAAAAGCACTATGCCCTGACCATGAGCCAGTGACGCATCTGAACCACGTGGCCAAGTTTGCTTACCTAAACCAGGGCCTCTCACATTAGGGCCTCTAATGTGACCCCGAATCAACCCAGATCTTGTTAAAATACAGACTCTGACTTAACAGGTCCGGGGCAGGAGAGGCTGCATTTGTAACAAGCTCCCAAGTGACACTGACATGGCTAAGCTGAGAACTGCACCTTGAGCTCTGCCCTGGTTTCCGAGGGACCAGATTCTTGCAGGAGTCAGCAGGATGTGTTGGTATCACGTGGGCATGGAGCTGGGCTCCCCTGCACTGGCCCTGTGGCCGGCAGAACCTCATGCACCCCATGCCTCTTTTCCTGCATACTGCCTAAGCCCTAGTGCTGGGAAACCCAGGACAGAGCAGCACAACCCTCCTCACAACCTGACCTGGCTTTGGATCGGCGGCTCCTGGCCCTACCTGCCACCTCCCCCACTGGGACGCAGGACTCTGATGAGTTGGCCCTGGCACCTGGCTTCCTGGTCCTGCATGGCCTCGTGGGCTCTGTCCCAGCCCTTCTCCCTTCTCAGAAGCAATGGGCTCTCTGCTGGGTTCACCCTGGTTACTAACCTTCATATGTCAGGGACTCCTGCCCACGTGGTCTGGGCCCCAACCTTTCTCCAGCACCCTTCTAGGAGATGTGAAGGACCCACTGGGAGTAGGTGTGCATGTCTGCAGCCTCTGCCCATGCTGTCTGCTCCCACTCCCCTCAGCAGCACCCCGGATCCCAGAGACTCCACACTTTCTCCAAAGAATTTAATAAACCACAGCCACCTTTATTTGAAGAACACCAGGAAAGAAGAGCGCCCCCTAGGAGAAAGTTCTGGTCAGCTGGTAGAGGCCAGTGGGATGGTGTCAGGGTAGCTTTCCTGTAGGGGTGAATTGGTACAAGGTGAGAGAGTGAGGTTAAAGGTCAGGGGAAGGGGAGGAACTGAGGAGGTCACCTCCCACCAGGAGTGATAGCTGGTGGCTTGGGACTGGGGAGGAATTGTATGGGGGACAGGCAAATAGCTCATAACAGATGGATTGTGGAACTGGGCCAGGGGCTTAGGAAGGCTCAGGACCCTCCCTCTGCTGAGGGGACTGACCTGGAGCTGTATCTGCATTGCCCCCTCCTTCCCACCCTTCTCCCTGGATGGCTGGATTGGGGCAGCCCAAGCCCCAGGCACTGCCCCAGCAGAGCGCAACTGTCCCAGCCAGCTGCCTTCTCCCCTCTAGGCTGGCTGCAGCCAGGAGGAGGGCCAGACATCTCAGGCCCTGGGCAGAGTGGACAGGCTGGGGCCTGGGGCCGGGAATGAGAGGTGGGCTGCTGGAGAGACTCAGGCACGACTCACCCCAGCCTCTGTCCTCAGGCTGAGGGAGCCCACCTATGTCTGCACGTGTGTCAGCTGCACGTCACCCGTCACTTGCAGGTGGTTGATGGCGGTCAGGTTATTCACACGGTGGTAGTAATCAAACTGGTGCTGACCATCCACAGACACCTTGAAGCAGTAGCCTTCACACATGATCCACACCTGGGCAGAGAGGCCCCACCATGTGCACAAAAAGTCCTTAAGCCCCAATGCCGCCTCGTGCCCCCTCCCTCCTTCCTCAAGCATTAAGAGGCCCCACACCTGTGTTCCAGCCCCACTGAGTGACCTGCTCTTCAGTGAACATACCCTGTGCACTCCACCCTCCAGTACTTTACCAAATGCTGTTCCTCTGTCTAGAATGCTGTTCCCTGCTCCCACCATGCATCCCACCCCAAACACTTTCCCTACTCCTGACCCCTTCTAGTCAGGTCAGCTGCCCTCTCAGGCCATGTTTCCCACCTCCAGTCTCACAGTCCAACTGGATCCCGAGTGCCACTTTTCTGCCCTGTACCCAGCACATGGCAATGCAGCCGCAGCCTCCTAACCAGTCTTTTCCACCCATGAGGCAGCTGGGGCACATGTGTTAGAACATCCTCATGCCCATGGCAATAGCTACTACTTCATCCCCCTGTGCATGTTACAGATACTATCTCATTGCATTCTCACGATGCTGTGAGAGCCTTATTATTATTTCTCTATTTTGTAGAGGAGGAAACTGAAGCACAGAGTGGTTAAGTCACTTGCCCATAGTCACACAGCTATCCATAAATTGTATATTGTTCCCTGGCTTGAAACACTCTCCTGGCTTTTCATTGTATTAAAATCAATCTCGAGGCAGTGCCTGTGGCTCAAAAGAGTAGGGCACCGGCCCCATATGCCGGAGGTGGTGAGTTCAAACCCAGCTCCAGCCAAAAACTGCAAAAAAAAAAAAAAATTCAATCTCCTTTACTAGGCCCAGGAAGCCCTACAGCAGTCATTTCAAATCCTGACTAAATACAGATACCCAGGTCCCTGCCTTACTGGCCAGGACTGGGCCCAGGCACTGACTTCTCCTTTGTGAGCTCTCTGGGTAGAGAATGCCAGCTCCATGCGACCCAGGCCTCCAGCCACACCCGGTACCTCTGTGGGCCTCACTCTTAGCCTGTAGGCCCTGGGCTCACTGTGCCCTGCACACTGGTGCCAGCTGCCCCTTCCCAGGCTCCTCCATCCCATTGTCCTGTTTCACCTTCCGCCGGCACCTGTCCTTATCTGCAGCCATCTGTTCCTGTCCTTGTTTCCTTGCTCCTTCCCCAGCTAAAGTGTGAATTCCTGGGGGGCAGGACCTTGTCTGTTTCCTTCAAGACGGCACCCCCAGCACATGGGGTGCTTCCTGGACAAAGTAGACCCCAGTGAAATGGTTGTTGAATGAATAAGTGAACAAATGAATGAGACCTCATTCTTGGGTCTGATTTGGCCCTTACTGGCTGGGTGACCACAGGCAAGTGATATGCACTTAGGAGTTGTTTCCTCATCTGTCAAAAGCAGAATCCACAGTCCTTCACGCAGGACAGTGATAGTAATGACGTGTTGGCCACTACCTCTTCTTCCAGGCCCTCACCCCAGAGGCGTCAGCTCCTATTCTATTCAAGGTACCCCCAGACCTCCTCTGCCCCTCTCCTTGTCCACACCTGTGAGCCCCTCTGAGCTCCAGGCTGTGGCTCCTTACCAAGAAGTACTGGCCTTGGATGAAGGGCATTTTCCCAGGCAAGCTTCGCTCCTCAGTCCCCCACCTGTTATTGATCTGGGTGTTGCGGACCACAGCGTTCTCATTGAAACGGGGGTTCAGGTGGAAGGCGATGTCATTCCCGGAGCGCAGGTCAATGCAGAACCTGAGGTGGGCAGCTCCATGGACCTTCTCTGCTCATCAGAGCCGCACAGGCCTGTCCCCCAGCTCCTCCCCCTCATCCCCAGCCTGCCCAGGGCCAGGGGTGTGGCCAGAATGACCTTGAAGTTCTCTCCCTTCCTAGAGTGCCCTGGAGTCCTTGGCTTACCTCTGTGCACCAGGCAGGACAATGCCGGATATGACGATGGACTTGGATGGGTAGAGCCCACCTGGGATGCTGGTGAAGAAAGGCATCGGCTGGCAGGGGGAGAGGACAGGTCAGCCAGGCAGCCAGAGCAGCCGCCACTGCACAGGGGATCTTTGTGCCAATCTCCATGAATTTGGACAGTCAGAGACAAGAAAGAACTCCACCATCTCTTTACTCGGTTCAGTAAATGCCAAAGGAAAACCTTCCAGTGATCCTCAGGTCAATGGGTGAGGAACTTTTTGCAAAGCACAAAAGGATTTGGGGGATGAAAGGGAAGGTCTTGTCGCTGTGCTCACATTGAAGTGACAGTTCTAAGGTTGAAAGCTCCTTTCAACAAGTTTTCTAATTTACACAAATGTTTTTAAGAATTTCAGCTTCCCAACCAGACGTGGCGGCTCACACCTATAATCCTAGCAATCTCAGAGGCCAAGACCAATGAATCCCTGGAGCTCAGGAGTTCAAGACTGGCCTGAGCAAGAACAAGACCTCATCTCTACTAAAAATAGAAAAACTAGCCAGGTATGGTGGTGTATGCCTTCGTCCCAGCTACTCAGGAGGCTGAGGCAAGGGGATTGCTTGAGCCCAGGAGTTTGAGGTTGCTGTGAGCTAAGATACCAGGGTTACTCTACACAGGGTGACAGAATGAAACTCTGTCTCAAAACAAACAAAACAAACAAACAAAAAACCAAAGAACTTCCAATTCCCAAAGGAGTGCTCTTAATTTGGCAAGGCCAGAAGGTCACCTCCAAGCTGCCCTTCACGTCCCACCCTGCCCGAGTCAATCAAAACCTGCACCCCTCCCTGAGAAACCACTTACGTAGCTTGGGTTTTGGTACACTGGAGGCGGGATGGCAGGATTCTGTTGAAAGAGAGCAGGAAATTCAGTGCGGAAGCACATGTGCGCACAGGCACATGCACACACCCCCCTGGCCATGGTAGAGGGGCTGCTCCAATGTGAGGCTTCAGCCTGTGGAGTCTCCCATCCACCTTCCTTCTCTTCTCAGCCTTCCTGGAACTGCCTGCTGTGTTCCCAGACCCCATCATGGTCCCCGCTCCACCCCCCTTCACAGGCAGCCTCACTCACTCCAGGTCCCCCATCCAATTTGGGCCATCAGGGGGACAAGAACTTAATCTGGTGACCAGTACTGGTGTCCTAGGAGCTTGTCCCCAGACGTAGGGCCAGCAACCTCATACCTGGGGCCACTGCACAGGCATCTCAGTAACAGAAAGACCAGTTTCCCTACTGATCTCTAGAGGACCTACCTCTTCAACCACTGGATAAATCCAGCCCATTCCATAATTGCCACTGTCCCAAGGATTTTAGCCACATATCTCTTGAGCTGGGGTCCCACCCCCATATGTCCCACTCCCCTTGAGAAACCTCCTTCCTTCACAACTCTAGGACTCTGGGGAATTCAGTTTTGGATGAAGAAGGATACTGTGAGGCTGTGAGCTGACCAGAATTTGTAGACTTACAGGAAACATCTGTCCAGGGGTGGTCTGCACAGTGTGGATGATGGTCTGAGTCTGGAAGGAGGAAACCAGGTCTCACCCAGCGCTCACCAGCGCCCAAACCACCACCTGCCACCAGAGGGCGCCGTGTAACATGCACTCTCTGAGGCTCCTTAACTTTGCACTGTAACCATCCAAAGGCCCCCACGCCGGCACAGGGAAAGTGTGGGTAGGGACGTTTCTTCTTTTAAGGGGCCGACAAAGGGACAACAGTTAGATGGTAGAAAAATATGGCTGCATTTGTGCTCTCTGGCCCATCTTTCTGCTCAGGGAAATTTCTCTCACATAGCCTCACTGTGAAGCAGAGAGCTGGAGCATGGGCCTTGGTCTTCTGTGGCTGCCCAGAGAGTAGCAAGGCAAACAAGTGGGAATTCAGATTGTTTCCCTTACACCAGGGCCTGCCAACCACCCCCACTGTCACCCACCCTCCAACATCACTGGGGCCAGGCAGTGGTTGAGAAGCCCAGCCTTGGCTGCCCGACCCCATGGGAGAAGCTCATTGCCTGCTCCGCCGCCTCCTGCTAACCCACAGAGAGACCCAACATGAAGAGAGAGCAAGAGACTTACAAAGGGGGCCTGGTTGGCAGTCCGCACGCCTGGGGGCTGGAAGGGATGAGAAGAATGGGAATAGTGGTTATCCTTGGCACCTCACGAGGGTGACAATGGCAGGACCCCGAGGCAGGTCTTGTGCTGAGAAACGCCCCTCCCCTCAACACCCTCACCTCCCTCTTGCTCCCCAGAAAGCCTCCTGAGCCTGGGACACCCAGGCTTTTACAGGGCTTGAGGCTGGGGTACCCCCATTAGCTGCTCCTGACAAGAGAAGGTTGGGTCTCATGGAGACCACATTGCTTTCCTTAGTGTCCAGGGAAGAGATGGGACATGTGGCCTTGGTCTTAGTGCCCAGAGCCAAGACATTACATCCAATGCCACAGTTCATCCATAAAATGAAGACTAGCATATTCTGAAGGCTTATTATCAACCAAGCTCTAGGCTCTAGTGCTTTCCGGTAAGGGCAGCACCCCGACTCCTGTTTCCTGGGGAAGCAATGGAGTTCGGAGCACCTGAGCTCGCCCAGGTAGAAGGGACAAAATCCAAAACGTTACTCAGTTCTTTCTTGTTGTATCCTTCATCCCTCCAACCTCCCCAGGGCCAGGGCCAGGGCCAGAGCCAACATGGGGCTGCCCGGCAGTTTCCCTGGAATTCAACCTGCTTTGAAGCCAGTGTGACAGGAGGCAGGTGTCTGTCTGCACCATGATGGGCCACAGGAAGGCTGTGTAGAGAAAGCATCCCCAACTCCACTGAGTGAATGGCTAAAGGAAGGCTGCACGCCTTCTTGTCCTGGACCCTGTCCCACCTGACCAATTATTCCTGCCTGGGAATGCGATGGTGTCCCATTCTACCAGTGACATCATACATTCCTTCACTGAGTCCCTACTGAGTGCCAGGCACTGTGCAGATGAACAAGCCACAATCCTGGCCCTCTGGGGGTCATGGGCATAGGGGAGATGGGAGTGGAGTGACGAGGACAGACACACAAATGGGGTTACAGTGACATGTGGTGACTGGCACAGCACAGACATGTGCAAAGCACATGGGGACACAAAGGGGGAACATCCAACAATCTCCCGGGCAGGGAAGCTCCCTACAGAAGCACCATTTAAGCAGAGCACTGGAGGGCAATTAGGAGTTTGCTGGGGTGAGGCTGGCAAAGGGAGTTTTCGGCACTGAGGTCAGCAGGTGCAAAAGTGTGGTCAGCCGAGAGGGCAGGGAGTGAGCAGCGGAGGCTGCGTGAGCTTCGTGGGCTAGGGGTGAAGCTGGCAGGTGGATGAGGCTGCATATCTTCCTGGGGAGTCTGGGCTTTGTTTAGAAAGCTTTGGGGCTTTTAAACAGGGAGGGGATATGATCAGATTTGCTGTAAGATCACTGTGGCAGGAAGTGAGTGGAAGGGGCATCGGACCACTGTCATCGTGGTGAGGAATCACAATGGCCAGACCAAAGCTGTGGTTTCAGGGCCAGGGGGACATCAGAAGGGGGAGAGGAGAATCCAGGATGACTCCCAGGCCCCAGCTCTGGGCACCTGGTGGATGGACACAGAGAACTCTCTGGTGACCAAGATGGGCCTGCTAACTGCTCAGCCTCCCGGGTTCTTTGTGTTTAACTCACTTTCGGTTTGCGCCCCTTGAACTTGGGTGGGAAATGGACAGGCTGGGAGGACTGCACCCTGGAGCAGGCAGACTGGTCAGGGGCCACATGGGTGTTCTGTTAAAACAAAAGGTACCAGTGGGTGAAGAGAAGCATTCCTGGAGCTGCAGAAGAGTGGTGAGCAGGGCCGGGGGAGAGAGAGCGCAGGCCGGCCGGCAGGGGGTGAGCAGCCCGAGGGAAAGGACCAGGCAGGTGAGGGGCAGCAGGTAGGCAGTGTCCCTCCTGCCTCCTCACCCTTCCCACCTGCAGAGAGTCGGAGACAGAGGGAGTGGGAGGGGTGAGAACCTACTGTGTGCTCCACTCATCCCAGGAGCTCACTCAATGGCCAAGTACTTGGTACTGCCTGATGCCCTGCGGGCATGTGGGCCCAAACACACCCTACCCAGCTTTCCCCTGATATCGCCTGACCTTTTAGATGTTGGCAACACATCCAACATTTTCAAAACACAGAGAGGGTCAAACAAACCCTGGTTGGGACCCATGGGGGCTGCACTTGTATCATCTCATCGAACCATACAGCCACTTATGGGGAGTCAGTAAAGATGCTCCTCCCACAGATGGGGTGTGGAGGCAGGGAGAGAAGGAGTCCCGCATGGATGTTCCCACAGACCATCAGAGTGGCAGAGCTGGGAGTTTGAACTGTTTTCTGTTTGGGTCCTGAGCTTGGGCTCCTTCTGGACCTACATGGCCTCCTAACCAGGGTGGAAATGAAGAGGGACAGTGAAAGATGCGGCCCAGGAGTCTGGGAGAGACCGAGGGAAGTGCTCTGGACAGAGACAGAGACACAGAGGAGCACAGAATGACAAGCACAAGGGGCAGGCAGACACCAGGACAGGGAACCAACGGTGTGGCCCTAAAGTCATCTGGACAGGAGATCGGCTGGTGCCTTGGGCACACCCAACAGGGCCTAGGCACAGCTAGACTGGGCCCTCCACCCCAGCCCCCGGGCCAGGTGGACGATCTGACCTGGAAGCTGATGTAGGACAGCTGCACAGCGCCGCTGACAGAGATGTTGTCCACGAGGTGGAAGGGCACCCGGTGTGAGTACTGCACAAAGAAGCTCCCGTTCACCGTCACCTGCCGGAGGAGGAGAGTGCGCGTTCCAGGAAGGAGTCCCAGGGCAGGGCCGGAGAGCACACCTGAGTCCCGGCCTCCCATCTGTCCTCAACCTGGGGACATCAGACATCAGTGCTGTGCCAGTTACCAGAACACGTGTGTGATCCAAAGTGCGTCAACCCAAATCTCTCCTTGGCTCTAGTTGTCGGCTTTTAGTTCTTAAGGTTGCTTGATGCAGTAGGTTTTTCTTTCTAATCATAGTTCACCTCAGGCATTATTTAAATATGCATAAAAAAGCTCGGGAGGACCAGAGGAGAGGTCACTTAGGGGCACACTGAGTGGAGGAGAATGCCCATGTCTTAGACAAGCAAAGATACGAACATAGAGACGCTCCTTGGCTAGCAAAGGCAGCTTGCAATGGGCTTAAAAAACTACACCGTTAAGGGCAGCGCCTGTGGCTGTAGGACGCCAGCCCCACCCGTATACAAGAAGTGGCAAGTTCAAGCCCAGCCCTGGCCAAAAACAAAAACAAAAACAAAAACTAAACCGTTAATAGAACCCGTGTTAAAGACTGGAACAACATTGCTGAAAAATAGTTGTGAGATGGGTGCCAGCTGCCCCATAAGATGGATGCCACGGCCTCACAACGGCCTCACACCACCCCCTGGGTAGCAGGAAGGGGAAAAGAGGTAAATGAAATGATGCCAAGTACCATCACTCTCAGATGGGTCAGATCGGGCCAGAACTGAACAGGATAAAACTAATGAGCCGAGTGCTGTCACGATGAGAGGTAACAAGCTAAGCGCTGTGACAAATTGTTTTACTTATTCACTAATTGCCGCTCTGCTTGATGTGTTGCCAGATCCGCTTTATGGGACTTTATGTTACCTATCTGCTCATCTGCTAAAATTGCAAGGTTCCCTAAAAGGGACCTAAAGGGGGTCATCATGACCCCGTGCTTGCTTTTTGCTTCTTTTGCCAATTTTCTTTTCGCTTCTAATTACCCAACTTTCAGCCCACCTGTTTGGCCCTTTGCCAACTCTCAGACTAGGAAAACCCCAAACTTCAGACCCCTCAATGCTCTCTCACTTAATCTGCTTTAGACTTTGCTGAGTCAGCCCCACGGTTAATGAAGACTCCTTTTTGATCTTCTAATTTGAGTCGGCGGTCCTTATCTCACCCCATAACAGTTGTTACCATGAACCTGGAGGGGAGGCATGGCTGCAGCAGGGGAAGGGAATTAACTTGAACCCTAAAGACACACTTGACCATGGTGGTGCCCGTAACTCAGTGGGTAGGGTGTTGGTCACATGTACTGAGGCTGGCCAGTTTGAACCCAGCCAGAGCCAGCTAAACGACAATGACAACTGCAACAAAAAAAAATAGCCGGGTGGTGTGGCAGATGCCTGCAGTCCCAGCTACTTGGGAGGCTGAGGCAAGAGAATCATGGCTTAAGTCAAGAGTTGGAGCTTGCTGTGAGCTGTGACACCATGGCACTCTACTGAGGATGACATAGTGAAACTCTATCTCAAAAAAACAAAAAACCAAAAAAACACACTTTACCAAAAAGCAACCTGCTCAGTTATCTAGTTCTTTTTCCTTTTGCGATAGAGTCTCAGTCTGTCATTGTGGGTAGAGTGCTGTGGCGTCATAGCTCACGGCAACCTCAAACCCTTGGGCTCAAGCAATCTCCTGGCCTCAGCCTCTCGAGTAGCTGGGAGTACAGGCACCTGCCACAATGCCTGGCTAGTTTTTTCTGTTATCAGTAGACACAGGGACTTGCTCAAGCAATCCACCTGCCTTGGCCTCCCAGAGTGCTTGGATTCCAGGTAACTTATCTAGTTCTTATTTTCAGAGGAAAAGAAGCAACCAGTGCACCTATAGATTCACAGAAAGGTGTGTGAAGAGACCACGCAGCTGTGGGTAACATCTGAAAGGAGATGGTCTTGTTATCTGTACAGTGGTGTTGCTGTGGCCAGGTCTTGATTAAGATGGTAATTTCAAGGCCCTTCCCCAAGCTTGGCAGAGCTAAGGGACAGGAAGCTGCAGGTGGAGAGGGGGTTCCTGCTCACCTTGAAATCTGAGGGCTGCACCAAGAAGCAAAGCTGAAAGGGCCTCCCCTTCTGGAAGGGCATTTGCATCCTCCTCTCCTCATTCCCCCAGCATCCCTTCTGCTTTGTGTTACAGACCACATACCCTCCATCTTCAAACCGAGGGTTGAAGTGCAAGGCGATGTCATTGTCACCAAAGCCAGTCTGCAAGTTCACAGCAAACCTAGGCCCAGGGAAAGCAAATAAATAGCCTTCCGTCTCATGGTTTATTGCCAGAAGAACAGGGTGCCTCTGACATTGGCCGGGAACCTGATGCCTTCCCAGCCCCTTCCCTTAGCAATCCCCCCCATGCTCAGGTCAATTCAACCAGCAAGCCCGCCCGTCACAGATGCTGGTTTGTCCACATCCCTTTTGTTCGCCTACTTTGGACCTAATATGTTTTTGTGCAATGATTGCATTTGCTTTGACGGCCTTATTTTCTTAAAAGAAATAGAAAATGGGTAAAGTGCCGGCCTTGGGAACAACAGGCATAAGTCCTAGAAACGAAGTACAGATTGGTAACGGAGATGGAAATTGCTAGACGGGCCCGGAAGAGAGAGCCTTTGGTGCCAAGTGGACACTTGGTGGAGGTGAGCACACACCTGAGTAATTGGGAAAGTGTGTGAAGGAGGCCCAGAAAGTCTCAAGGAGAAGACTGCTGGGGAATGGCCTGGGGGGGCTTGTGAGGGAGGGCTGAGATTCCCGACGGGGTCCACAGGCACTGCGTGGAACAGCAGGCCGCCACCGTGGACTCCCTAACCAAGCCGGGTAAGAGCTGCACATCTCTGTGCAACCTGCAGGCGCTCCTCGGCAGGGGTCCGTCAGGCCCCTCCAGCCCCTGCGAAGACTGAGCCCCTCCTTGTTCCCAGACAGCCCTCCCTGGTGGGAGGAGGGGTGTGGGAAACAGTGTGGACAAGACATCGGTATTTTGAATTCACTTAGTATTTTCCAGAAGAGCGAAACAGACCAAATCGGTCATTTTGACGGCAGCTTTAAATATTTCCACATCAGCAGAATGAAGCTTTCCAAGTAGACGAGAGCCCTTTATGGGGAACAAGGGACATTCTCTGTTTGCAATTCCGAGTCATAGCATACAAAGTTCAGGCCTGTCAACATAAATGTCTATCTCTGGCTTACCCCACGTTTCTCCTTAGATAGTGAGCTCCCTGGAGACCAGGATCCCTGTGAATCCCATTAGTCCTAGAGTCTATGTTAATGGTGTCCCTGGACGCGGGTGTGGAGCGGTGCCCTGTGCCAGGGTGGATGCATTCGGGCTCCCCTGAGCCAGACGGGTGAGGTTATTGTTTGAATTGACCTGAGCAGGGAGTGGATTGCTAAGGGACGGGGCTGGGGAGAAACAAAAGTGCCTTCCACATACACACCTGCTTGTACTGGTGTTAAGAACAGAGCCATTCACAGTGATCTGAAGTCCAACCTGGAGACCTCCCTGGATTATCCCAGAAAAGGGGACAACCTGCAGGGAGAAGGTGTAAGGGCATTAGTCAGGGGACCACCATCCTCCTGTTTATCCCCACAGCACTTGCCAGTGGCTGGCTTATATATGACAAGGTACCCAGCTCTACGAACAAATTCCAGTGACTGCTACCCGTTTTTCAAATAATCTTCTCCATTAACAACTACTTGACCTTTCTGAATTGTTTCCCAGAAGTGGTAGAGTTTCTGTAAGACAGGGAGTTGAGATTCCAAAGGCCCCTGGGCAGATTTCCTGCCGCGGAAACTCACCATCTCTCTCTAACTTGCAGCTATGCCCGTAGCCCCCTTGTTAATTTCAAGACAACCTGCCAAAGTGCCTTTTGCTAATTTCCCCTCTTTCAAAAGGCCCAACTCTTCTTTAGTCAGGGAGAGGGTTTGAGACTGTTTTTCCTGATCTCCTGACCACAGCCCTCATGATCTCTGCACTGGGAGGGCCTGTGCCTAGGCTGAAACTCCTTCATGGCTTCGGTACAAGGTTATTGTTCTGGGGCTGGGGGTGCAGCTCTGACCAGGACAGGTGGAGTCTCAGGCTCATAGATCTTAGGGTCCTGTGTGAAGGCAGACACAAATCCAATTAGTTACTTAGATATTCTAAGCTTGCGGTAAGGGCCTGAGAGGATGTGATAGGGAGCTGACTTCACTTAAAAGTGCGAGAGGAAGTGAAAGCTGGGTTGAGGAAAGCACCAGGAGGATGGCCTCCAGACAGGAAAGTAGCATGGACATAGCCTGAGATGGGGAACAACTGGGGTGTCGATGGGGGTTGCTGCACCCCAAGCCAAGCTCCCGGCAGATGCCCCAGAACCCGGGATGGCTACCTGGTAGCCCAAGGGACAAAACAGATCCACCAAGGGTCTGGAAGCTTAATCTTCCACTCACCTGACAGGGCCAAGTAGAAGCCATCTCCCCTCACCACCATCTCCATATAACAATGGCCACCGTGACCTTTACCCTCCTGGCCACTTCCAGTACAGCCTCTTCCCAATGCCTTCTGCAACCCCGGGTAAGTCCCCCTATCCACTCCTGCTCCTGGAGTCCCCATTCCTTCCCTCGGGCCTTCAACAGCCTCTGAAGCCCTGGTGTGGGATCTCTACCCATTTAGGCCCTTCTGGCAACCACTTTGTCCAATCCTCTTTGGAGTCTGGGCAGACTCTAGGCTTGAATACTAGTTCTACAGTGAGTGGCCTTGTGAACCTTGTTTAACCTCTTTTTGCCTCGGTTTCCTCGTCTCTCAAATAGGAAAAAATCCCACACTGTGTAAGATTATTTTGATGCTTTGGTGAGAAAATGCTATGGTAAAAAACACTGGCACATAGTAGGTGCCTCTCCAGTGACCCCTACGTTGGTCTCTCTGAGAAAGTCCCAGATTGGTACTACTCCACTTTTAGAGCTTACTTTTTTTTTTTTTTTTTTT